TTATTTATATTAGAGAATTTCCAATAATTCCTGTCTTAAATTGGAGTAATCGAATTATGGCAACAATTGGCGGCATTCTAACTTTAGTTGGAACCAATATCGGCAATGAAACGATGGGATATATAGGAGGAGGCATTATTTTGTCTTGTCCATTTGTCGAACTTTGTGCTTCGTATCTTGAAAAGAAAGAAGGAGCAAAAATAGAACGTGGTGAGATCAGGTCACTAGTTCATAGCATTGAAATTCTTGAAGTTGTATTAAAACCTTTCTTGGAAGACGAAAATAAATTTCAAAATCGCTATTATTATTATGCCATCCGTAGAGTTATCAATGTTTTTGTGAATGCAAAAGAATTTTTGAAAAATGTAGTTAAACTTTCGGATCGCAAAAAATTTTTAAATGCTAAGGAAATTAGAGAAAACAATGAACATTTCCACCGAGAACTTGATGATAGTATTAGAGATTTAAATCTTGTCATAACTATTGCTTCTTTTGAAAAAAAGACAAACGAAGATACGAATGAAAATATTGATACTATTTTACAAGAAATTGTGTCTTTTAACAAAAAGACAAATGAAGATATTGATACTATTTTACAAGAAATTGTGATTATAAAAAATAGCAGCACCGAACAAACACTTATTGAATTACGAAACAAAATTCTTTTATTAGAGAATAAACTTAATTCTTCTGCCAACTAAAACCAAGCTCAAAATAATACAAAATTTCTCTGCTTCTAAATCTTCTGAATTGATTCAAAATGATGAGAATGTCAATTTTGTTAACAAGATAAAGCTACTCAAAAGTCTAATTTTATGCTTGATTAAGAGATATTAGTTAACTCCAGAACAAGTATTAAGCTATTATAAATCTGGAGGAATTTATTGCAAATTGTACTATGGATATCGTCACAATTCATAAACACTTGTTCTAAAATAAAAGGAGTTTACAAAATCTAGATTGATATTAGAGAATTTGATGAAAAAATAGTTAATTAGATTTAATTAAATTTTATTTTCTTGGATTTACAAACACGATATATATGTCTTATTCCGACGTATGTGCGCATGTATGTACGCTTTAGTGCAATAGCGGTAATACTATTATAGAAAAAAAAACAGGTGTCCCAAATTAAAAAAATTTTTTTAGGGCTTTGGTCCTTGGAATGTAGCTTTAGAGCTTTAATTTGAACTGTAAATAGGAAATAAGGTCGGATGTTCGATCAAATCCCTAAACAAACAGCTTCAGAACATGGTCTTTTCTATACATGTGTGCCTAAATTGCCTATAATAATAAAAAATTATCCGTCGGATTACTATGATCGGGCTGCCAAATAAGTAATAGTTATATCCTGGGCAGTTGGGTATAAGCGGGGCTGAAAGTCCCGCTTATCACATAGTGCCCAGGGT